CTTTAAGATTGACTGGTTTGACCTCCTAGCAGTCCAAGGGACTCTTAAGAGTCTTCTCCAGTACCACAGTTCAAAGGCATCAATTCTTCCTAGGATATCTTATTGCAGGCAAATCAGAGGAATCAATACAGGAACTGACTATCTAGCCAATGGGCCAGGAATGCAGAACCTGAAGCCTTCCAGATGTTCCTGAAATCAAGCACCAGTGGTGAAGGAAGTTGGAAGGACTTTGGTTTCCACATGCCTACCTACAAACAAGTCTTTTTTTATCCTTGCTAGCAATCATTTGATCTTATCTGGTGTTAATTATTTGTAAATGCTGAACTAAATTGGGGTGTGTGTGCCCGCTGATGTTTGCAGAAGTTTTATTCACTGTGAAAATAAGAGACATTTTCTCCCCCCCCCCCATCTCTTTGATAGGGAGAAAAAGATTTCCAGAAAGTGCCTGCCTGCCTTCCTTCCTTCCTGAAAGACTTCCTCACGTGTCCTAATCTTTCTTCTTTTCTCTTGTTAAAAATATCACCTGACCAGACAATGGTGCAGCTTCCCCTTGGGTCTCCACTTGACTCATTTCAACAAAGAGGAAGCTAGAGGACAAGAGACCTTGTCCTGTTGAGAGTTTCATGGAAGCATTTTCAAAGGGGAGAAGAAAACAGACCTATCTGCCACCAAAGTAGGGTGACTCTCTTACTTCCCACATTCTAATAGGAATGTACACACCCCTTTCTTTCTGTTTGCTTGGTTTCAAATCTGTCTGCCTCTTCATGAAAGGGGCAGATTTAAAGTGGAATAAACCATCTTGCACAGTGCTAATTATTTCCATGTCGGATCACAGAGCCTATCTTGAACATATGACATGAATGGGTCATTGCAAATCTTTCAGTAGATTGATCTTTCCAGCCCATAGATGTCCCCTCAAATACAATGCTATGTAGCTCAAACATCTCTTTGATGGTGACAGAACCAAGAATATGGAAATCATGAGATGTACGGGCATGAGTGAGTCAGCCCAGAGTTCATTAACTTTAATTTTTAAATAGCATAACACCAGAAGCTCTCAGCAGGGAATTCTTTCAGGTGAGTTGAGTCTCATGCAGTTTCTTTAGCGGCTTAAGGATAGTAACTGTCTACTCTGCTTAAAAGGACTGCAAGCACGGTGATGTACACAAATGTTAATAGGATCCCAACCCCCAGAGCTATATGGGCGAAGGAGCGTGCCAACATGGAGTGTCGCCGAGCAGCTGTTCTGTCCCCAATTTTGTTAGCTTGCCGAGTCTGCAGGAAAAAAAGAAAATAATGATGGATTCATGCCAAATAATATTCCACATGCAGGAAGTGTAATACTGAGTATGCCCAAAGAAGCTACTGTACTGTGGGCCAGTGAAAAATTCTGTTGTCATGGGTGGAGAGATTCTTATCAGGAGGGCTTGGCAAAGCAGAAGCCCCCAGTTCCCATCTTTTTAAAGCTTGCTTTGATAGACAAATAGCCGATATGAAACGTTTCTGGTCAAATGATAATTTAAGAGTCAACAGAATCTGACTGAACGCATACCTAAGCATACATTTCTATAAATGGTTGCTCTAATTTTTAAAACATTCATTCTGGGAACTGAAGTTCACCCATCTTAAAATGGCTGAGGTTGAGAAACACTGCTCTAGAGATCAGGGAAGGCTGTTGAGACTTCCAAACTGCTCTAAAGTCTGAAGTATTAACTACTCTTAAAGCCATTGCACTTAACATGAATGCCAACTAAAGCCCCACTGTTTGTTGCACTGTTGTTTTTCCCATAATAGTTCTCATCAGCATAAGACTACATGTAAATTTGTATCACCCTTCCAAAATGAGCTTTAAGCTGGATTTTTGGCTGGGTTTATGGCACCCTCTGAGATTTCCTTGCTGAAGGAGATCTACAAACACTAAACGTCTCTGCAGAACATTTTCCCCAGGATCCCACTCCTAAGTATTATCTCTCTCTCTTACCCTTACTGGGCTCTAATTTCAGTCAGAAAAGACAATGTATGGTAGCCAATCCTCCCTTCCTTCAAGTTTTAAATTGCCTCTTAGCTTAACTTTTTATCTTGGATCTTAGACACCAGTGTTCCCCGTTGCAAATAGCATTGTGTTCTTGTCTCTCTCTCTCTCTCATTCACACACACACACACAGAGCACAAACATTGATGCTCACCTGTATTGAGAAAACCAAGGCAGCGATACCCAGGGGTAGAAAGCAGCAAAGCATGGTGAAGATGGAGTAGGCCAAGAAATCAGGTTCATTAGTTGGCTGGACTGGGGTGATGATTATGGCTTGCTGAGGCTGAACAAACAGGTCTTGGCTTGGTCCTACACCAGGGGAGTTACAAAAAAGTTGGTACGGGGGTGGCATGGCAGAAGGTGCTGTATTATCCATAGGGTATGGAGGTCCGGCAGGATGGTTCAGAACGGGAGTGGAAGGGGGCTCCTTTTCTGAGTATGGTGGTGGATTCATAGCACCGGCCTTTGTGTTTCCTGCTTCTCCTTCTTCCTTACTTCTCCACGCTCCACCACCCCAGTTGCTATTGGATGACTTTCATGGTCCTTTTTCTTCCACCGTCAAACTTTTCTTATGGAACAATGAGAATTTTCTCTGGTTCTTAAACAGAATTATTTCTGAGTGGTTTCCAGTCTTAGGTGGTAAGTGAATAAAATGAGGAATTAGGCAATGAATAACCCAGGTAGACAGAGTAATACTAGGTGTGGCAACTAAGAAAGGGGGATGGCCTTGCTTAACAACTGTAATCTCATTTTTTCTGTGTGATATAGGAACATATACTCACTTTTTTTCAGGGATCCTCTTGCCATCACGTCTAAGTCATTTCTCACCATAGCATTCATCCTTTCACACAGCTCACAATATGGATAAGTAGCTGTCTGGCAGTCTGCTGGGCACAAATGGCCTTTCAAAATGTCTCATCAAAATTAGGAGAGAAAGTGTGTGAATGATTTTTCCAATTATTATGAGGAATGGGAGAAATTCTCCAATAAGTTTTCAAAGGCCTGAGTAGTAACAGCAGCACCCTTGCTATAAAAGCCTGCAGGGAGGAATTATGAGGTCTTTTCTTGGGGTTTTAGGGAATCCATGGAAGACAGGAACCCATGTAGAACACCAGAGAAAAATTATAGGATGAAATTTAGGACATTCATACTATTGGCATGCAAGAACACAAAATGAGTCCTGGTGTGGAATGGTGGTTGAGGTGCTGAACTAGGACTGGGGAAACCCAGGCTGTAGTCTTCCCTCAGCTATAGAAGCTCCCTGGGTGACTTTGGACCAGTCATTCTCAGCCCAATCTGATAAATACAAAATCCCATGGAAGAACACTGAAAGCAAATTCTCTTTCATCAGACTGAATATGAAATGTGAGAAGAAAATGCATATTTTGGTACATACAGTATATGATGGTTTTACAAGTTGCGGCTCTCCATTCTTAAATATTGTCAAAGGGCCTCCATGCTATATGTCATGGTCCCCTTCTCCACTCAAGAAGAAAAATACTAGTGATTCTTTTGATTGTAAGGAGACACACTCACTATAAGATTATTCAGTGATATAATGGGTGCAAAATTATTATTTGAGGGGCTGCTTCTCCCGAGTTGTGTCTACCTATCCCATCAGATCCATCACAAGAGGCATGCTTCAGGTCCTGTCTATTACGGAGTGCCATCTCATGGGGCCCAGGAAGAGAACTTATTCTGTCATGGCACCCCTCTTTGGAATATCATTCCCCTGGTGGTTCAATTGGCCCTGATCTTGTTGGCCTTTCATAAGGCCTTAAAGACATGGTTCTGTCACTGGGCCTGGGGGTCAGGAGGTGGGGCTGAGCTCACAAATTGGCTATGTTAATTGTGACTGTTGGGTTGCTTTTTACCCCAGCTGTTGCTTTGTGTGTGTTGTTTTGCCCTTTCTGTTTTTTATGCTTTTATATTTTTTAACATGGTTGACCGCCTAGTCATGAACTTGAGATGGGCGACCATATGAATTGGAATAATAAAAATCAATCGATCTACAGGAGTTTCACAATATGGCATGGCAAACTGTGATACCCTAAGATGTTTTAACATTTATGGGTGTGCCTTTGTACGCATGCACAGTAGAGACACAATATATAAGAAATGTGGAATTGTTCAGAGAGGAGCTGGGTGCTGAAGCTGCCAGATCCTTGCAGGAATTTGGATCCATTGCTAAATTACTGTTGCCTCCCAAAGGTTTCTCCTTACGTCCAGTGAAATGTCCTTCCTCGTGTGGCAGAACTTCAGGTTTCTGAAGACTGTTCTTCTCTTTCTTCTTTTCCAGGTACAGTGGAACCTCGGTTTACGAACTTAATTCGTTCCGTGACTCTGGTCGCACCCTGAATTGGTCACAACCTGAAGGAATTGCCCCACAAGATTCAATGTAATTACCGTTAATCCATTCTGGCGTGGAGGACAGGGAGGCGGCTATTGCTTGGGGGGAGAGCCCCCATCCATACCCCCGCGTGTCAGGGCGGGAAAAGGGCCGCGGACCGTGTCACGGGAGGGAAAATGGCCACGTATCCTGTTCGTACCCTGAGGCG